GTAATTGAAATAGTAATGAAATAACAAAAAAAAAAAAAAGGGTTGTTCTTAAAACGCAAAAACCCGGCTTCTTAAATTATGCATTCAAACTATACATGCCGAGTTGTTATTATTTTGGTGTAAACAAACCCCACCGTCGACAGCGGTTGAGGTAATATTGGCATTGCCACGTAATGATCTAATCCAAAGGTCAATGAAAATCTAAAAAAAAGTGTCCCGAAGATGGTGCAATTAAAGTTAAATCAATACATTTGAGGACGAATAACGTATTTGTGAAATGTATGCGAAAAAAAATGAACACATAAATAGAATTTCAGACATAGTTTCACAGTGGATTTTAAACAGGAGCAAAAAAAAAAAAACCCCCGATGATTGAAGTGGTGAATTATTGGAATAGGAAAGGTGCGTGTATGAGAAAGAACAATAGAAAGCTTAAAGAATTATTGTGAGCAGTCAGATGACCTTTATTCTGCGCAGAGAAATTCTTAACATGTTTGTGAAGTTTTACGGACAAGGCCTGAGACGAGTGAGCGGAGCGTGTGTGACTTACGTGTTTAAGTGGCATGCATAAAAATAAAAACAATTATATAAACCTAAATGCAGATGAGGGAACGTGAAAGGTGTTTTATCAATCAATCAACCTTTATTATGAAAGAAATGCCTCTGATAGTTAGATGATGTATGCGCCCGAGGAGTCGCCAAATTAGTGATCCAGGAACAACTCGGACTCCTAGCGTCTGGGATTCTCTGACTAATCCGCAATCTCTCCCTCTTCCATCGCACATGTTCACCACTCGGATCTATGGCAAAAAGGTTGCGCCGTCAACGAGAAATAGCATGAGCGAATGTAACCACCTTCAATCCTCCGAAGGGAGCCTTTTCACATAATAGGAATCCATTTAAAGTGCCCGTTATAGCGATATCATATACTTACAGACCTACCTGACAGATCATTACGCGTTCGGGGTTTTCCTTCGGGCTTTGCTAGTTGACTGAATTTAGCTGCAATTCGGCCGATTTAACACCCAAAGTACAATTATAAGTTAAATTGACGGACAAATTTACACACGCAGAGATTTGTGACCACCTTACGATGGTCAAATAATTGGGTTTAAGGTTAGATCGTAAAATAAGAAATTCTTTCGATATGAACCTTCGAGAATCGGTGTTTATTACTGGATCATATAAAATTATTGTTGGTAGGCCAAATAATTAATTATGTGCCGCAAGGATTTGGATGTGCATCATTTAGTATTAGTATGTTAATATTAAATAAGGGAACCATTTTATTGATCGAGTTTCAATTTCTTTATTCAAAAAAAAATTTTTTTTTTTTTTTTGATCAACTTGTAACAGATACGCAATGTTACGTAAATGTATAGTCCTGCATTCTTGTTTACGTGTCATGTTATCCGTCTATTGTCCAGGTTTTGGCAAATGGTCACATGATTAAATGATCAGGATACGAAAGAAATCGCACAATGGCACAATGAGCAATTAATTTCGAGTATCTATTCAAAAGATTTAGACATGCCCATTATACGCACAATGACACGGCATCATAAATAAAGGATTTCTAAATTTAAAGAAACCCATGGTTTTTCATTCGCACAATGAATACCTCTAGTAAATCGCAAGTTTGCAAACCGCAGAATGATGTTTTTTTTTTAAAAAAAAAGGACACAAATTTGTATTTTTACTTAATCCTGACAACTGAATGCGTCATCTCTCACCACCAACATGCTTCTCGTTTCGACCATCGACAGTCTATGAAGGAGCGTCAACAAGTTGACTTACAGACGTACGTACGGTGGAATGTTTAAAAACCTAGTCGAACACCGTTTAAAGAGCGCACAGCAGATACACGTGCATTTTCATAAGTATTTCAACTCCGTGTTGACTGATTGACGGATACGGTCTAGCGCCAAATATCCGATACTCAATTTGGTCGTGCGACCGAAAAAAGATAATAACGATTACTATAATTATCGTTGCTCTTCAATTTACTTAAATGGCGAATCCACTGCGCCTAAGTTGAAGCTAAGGAATGGCTGCATATTATTCCTCTGCAAAGCCATCACCCCTTTGTATAATCGTTCCTCTCTTCTATCGTCAGTCATTTTTGTTTTTTTTTCTATGCCACACTCTCTTTTGGTAAATTGTGACCGACCTCGAATTTCCATTTTTGGTCACCAATACTTCAAATCAATCACCAAACTAAGGTTCGGGGAGGATTCCGTTGAAGAACACGGTGTCTTCCACACGTTTCCAGAAATTGACATTTAGCTAATCATCATGGCGAAATTTTTGAATTGCGCCATGCGAATAATCACCACTTAACAAAAATCGTGCCTTAATTGGTTGAGCACTTGATGATTAATTTTACCTTCGTGCAGAGTATTTATTTACTTAATTGTTTCAATAAACGCGTTCTTATAAAATCGGAGATTGTGATTTCATTGACAGAATAGGCGACATACTGTGTAAACTTCGTCACAAACTCACAAAAATTAGCCCAATCTACTTATTGGCTATATTTATTCCATTCATTAATGCCCATTACGAGCGTTTCACCGGCACACTTGATTCCATTCTATATAAAAGAACACGGGTGACACTCATTTACAGTTCGGGCAGTCAAATATGTTCCAAATCAGTTATCTGATAATTTTTTTTGATATGGAAAGTGTTTATTCTCATTGATTTCTTCGTACACGTCGACTGCATTGCGCATAGACTTTTTTGATCTCACGTAACTTTTATTATACACATTTTCCCCTGGTCTTTTTTGATCCTCTCCGAGTATTGCATTAATAAAAACAAAAAAAAAAAAAAAAACCCCATTCGCCATCATTTTTCCTATAGTAATTTACAAAAGAACCAATACCTTGTTGCCCTTGTTTTTTTCCTGTTTGCCGCTTAATGGATCAAGTCCTTTCTTTCCCTGTTTACATTAAAAGAGTTCAGTTTTCGTGTGGCACCTCATTCATGAAACCTTTAAAAGGAGAAAATTGTGATCATTGTAATTGCCACCACCAGCGGCTGCGTGGCTTATCATACACTGAACAACCTTGACTCGGTGCTGATTCAGTTCTGCCGCCCCCTTTTGTGGCTAATACAATATTATACTCCTTAAAGTTACCCAAGCTACCCTGCATATTGTTCTAGAGGTCAGAAAATTTTCCGTCACTTCAGAAATCAATGAAAATGCTTCAACATAATAAAGCACATGTTGAGAACGCATTGAACACAAAATCAATTCGAGCAGTTGAATCCGGTCATTTTAGCATGTCAAGTAATTTCCGACAACAAAAGGTTGATGACTATATTTGATTGTTGGATAATTTAAGCCGTAAAAATTCATAAAATTGATACATTCATCATATCTTGTTGAACCAATAGACATGCAGTCTTTGATTGAAACAAAACCATGCTCTTGTTAATATGATCAAGGGCTTTTTGTGCATGAAAAGAAATTCAGCATAGCATCAAAAACTTATTTTGTTAGATGAGTACAAAAAATTTTTCAGAGACATTTTTTAAATGCCTTGCTTTCTCTTTAGATCATATATAAAATGCAGTCACTTGGAATGTTCAATGAATCAGTCCACTCCATCAATCCATCAATCCATCAATCCATCAATTAATTAATCAATTGACATTTTTTTTTAATTTAATCCAATCGACTTTCCAATGAATCTATCTAACGATCAAGATGTAATTTCTGAAATTTCATTAACCCCAAAAAACTTTGAAATAAGCGACAAAAGCGTGGTATTTCTAAATATAAACAGATAAATCGATAAAGAATAGGTGGTAAAACATTAGGGATATGCTGTATAGGAATCGAGAACGGGATGGAGTTAATCTTTTTTTTCCATAATGAATCTTTTAATCTTTCTTTTTAAAACAATCCATTAACCGCAATGGGACACCATTCCATTATACAATCCCTTTCTTTTATTACATTATATGCAATCTACTCTTATCTGCCACCGGTCGTCCGAATGAGACGTTCATTTGTCACGGTGGGTCAGACACTTGGTTTGTTTGTGTCATTTTCATGTCATAAATGAAAAATGTACGCAACAAACAGAAATACACCGGCGTTCAGCCGATTGTCGGAAGCGGCTTTCTTAAACAATGAAAAGGTTTACCACACGGCAAAGTCCCATTGGTGGCTGTAGCCCTCACGGAACATTTCCATATGGTAAATCCTTTTTGGCACCAAGCGTTTCTCGGTGAGAGAATGAAAAGTGATTCTTTGTTGATTTTTTTTGTTTTTTTTTGTTTTGTTTTGTTGCCATGGACATGTATCCCAGAACTCTGCGGCCCTTTCAAATTAGGAATTAATTGATCCACGTCCAAATTCATGATCAAAAAAAATTTCATTAATTTCGGTTTTCCTTGCGGTTATTGAATTAGGCGTCAACGGAAAAATAAGTCATTGATAGGTTCCAAATAGGAAAAGATAACCTTAAACAAAGCATTTTCGAGTAAATTCACGACACAACGCGGAAACAATTAAAGAGCAGGTGTGATCTAGCACGATTGAGAACATTTAAAACCCGCACTCACACATGTGCAACTCACTCCGTCGGAGTTTACACGGTAGATGACATTGTTTTCTGCTGAAATGATTATATCAGTTTCCATCGGAATCACGTAAGGAAAATATAGAAAGATCGGTTGTAACGCTTTCACGGGGTACCAATATGACCGGTGCCGTATGCCCAATGTCATGAGTCATTCAAACAATGCGTGTGCAACATCCTGAATTTTAAAACCTCAGCCTTTGCACTTACTATTGTGACAACCGCGCAAGGAAAGGACAAAACATGAACATTTGTGGTTTTTCATTTTCTTTTCCGAGGGAAGAATTAATCATTAAAGATCATCACAGAGTATCTCACAAATTCCGAACACTCCGTACAACAAACTGAATGTTTATTATTAAAAGATTGGTGACGGGACGTGATACTTAAACCCAGGATCTATTTCTAATCTAGACCCAAAATCTCCTTTCCATTCAAAACCTCAAATTTGGCATCCTCGAAAGCATCGCCAAACTTTTCACTCCTTCCGCCTAAATATCTTTCCAGGAACCTTTCCACGATGGCATAGAACGACAGACTATTTGCTGGTCGAGCGAAACCGTGACCTTCATCGGTATAAAGAATATAACCGATCGGAATTGACTTGGATACAAGTTTCTCTACGATTTGATCGCTTTTGAGGGGAAGAAGGATGGACGAAGAAATATTCTCGTTATCAATCCGGTTCTGAATAATTCCTTAATTAGAAGTGAGGTGGGTTGACGATTCGACCTAACCCCTTCTAAAATGATGCTGATAATATACATACGATTCAGAACGTTTCACGCGCGGATCATTTTGACCTATTAATTTACAGTGTTATCCATTTTTTTTTTTTGTAAAAAAAAATGGTAAGTCGGGAAGACGACCCGAGGTATCAAAGTAATCTATCATCGTCATACCTTGAGCAATCAATAGAGGTCTAATGATATTGTCGGCACGAGTTAATGGGCTACAACTGGTTAGGAATTTCTGTCCTTCCTCCGTATCGGGATTTCCGCCGATGCGAGTGCAAAATTCGTTGAACATCGGTTTCCAGTATGGTGGAATCGTTCTTTCATTAAAAGAAAAAAAAAAGGGTTGCGGTCGGAGCGATTTTGTTTAGCGAATAGGAAGAACAATGAGTGGGAAGAAATTAATACGTTATTTTGTTAGAATAATAAAAAAATATATATACATATAATAATAATAATTTTTTTAACGAGACATCTTTCTTGGTACACTTACTTGAGAAGGGTAACTGAAAAATAAACAAAACAACAACAATAATAATTGATAATTGATAAAAAAAATCGCAGGCTACACATTGCACACATTCATTTTAAAAAACGTGATTTAAATTCGAGCACATTTACTTACCCAAGTTCGAAGGGCCGACAATATCAATACCACACGCGAACACATCGTTGGTAAACGTCAATCCCACCAATGTTGCATAACCTCCATAACTTCCTCCATAAATAGCAATTTTATCTTTGATTGCGATGCGCTCAGAAATTGTCCAATTCACAGCGTCTGTTATTGAGGAAATAATTAGTAGAAATGAGATCGAGTGATCAGACATTAAAGCTCCTTACCGATTAAATCGTCATGCATCTTTCGGCTCCATTGTGCATTTCCACTTTTCAGAAAAGTTTTCCCCAGACCAGTGGAACCTCGGTAATTCACACTCAGCACGGCATAGCCACGATTCGCAAAGAATTGGTGATCAAGTTTGAGCATGAATGAATCACGCCACCACGGGCCACCTTAAATGGCGGGTAAAATGACTAAACAAAAATTTTTTACAGATATGATAGAGATACCCTTACGTCAAGCAACATACCGTGAACATTGAGAATCAAAGGCAAAGGATTTATGGGTCGATAGTCGTTCTCATTGGAAAGCTTATCCACCGGTACCGTCAAGTAGCTGACCAACTCTAGTCCATCTCGTGCCTTAATTATCACCGGCCACATGGGACTCAATCTGTGCTCCTTCAACTCTTCGCGATCGCTAAACAAAAATCTTAGCTTTCTATTTCTCCGATCATAGAAGTAGTATTTTGCAGGTTCAATGTCGTTCTCGAAGACCATCGTCCAAATCTGATTGTCGAGAGATTGAGAAATTATGCTGATGTCGGATTTGCGGTATCCTGAGGAACCATGACCCCTCAAAAATTCAAGGTCCACGGAAATCTCGGGGTTAATAGGGAACCAATCCTTTCTCAAATGATTAATCTGAAACGCGATCGGTTCATGCGTGAGGGGATCAAGTAACACCTCACTGATCTCGGCTTTGCTTGTACTCGGAGGTTCAGCGATGAGAACCTGATTTAACTCGTCATCGAATTTCACCTTATAAATAGCATTAAATTCTCTACCCCTAGAATCTTTCAGGTAAAATACCCCTTGGGCGATCGAGACAATCGAAGAGCTCATGACATCATCAATTTCAAAGGTAATCAACAACTTCCAATCTTGTTCCCCGCCACTATTCCCGATTTTCTTGTGAATACTACTACCGGCCTCGTCCGTTTGTTTAACACCAAACACAACCTCGAAGTCATCATCGACATAGTATTCGGAGAAATGAAGCTTGTTCTCTTCGATCAAACGCAATTCACCTGTGCGAAGATGGACACGATAAAGTGAGTGGGCGGTAGGTTCGGGTTTATTGATGGCAATGATGGCCTCATCGGGAAAGCGAGTAGAGAATTTTACGGGATAGGATAAGGTTTGGTCGAAGGGAGTTAGAACCTTCTCTTCTAGGGTTTTCACGTCGACCGAGTGCAACTTGAAGTCTATTGATTGGAGCGAAGAAAAAATTATTTTATTTATTTGATTAATACATTAATTCAAGGAACAAACTTGGGCTACCCGCACAAGGGTAACAAGGCAAGATGTCAAAATCGTCAATCGCCCAAATTAGCCGCCATAGCGGCAAAATTCAATGTACCTTCATCTCCGTCCTTATCCTTTGCGAAAATGATTTGATTCCCAAAACTCCAATAAAAATTCCTGATGCCACGTTTTTTATCTTCAGTGATAGGTGTTGCCCTTTTTATAATCTCCTTGCCGTAATCCTCACCAAAGTCCTCGGTAGGGATCTCGGCAACATAAATATTCAATATCTCGTTTCGTGGAGAAACGAATGCGATGTATTTACCATCGAAGGAAACTTTTGGTTGAATTAGATTAGGATTGCCGAAGATTAAGCGGCGAGGAATCAACGGAGTGGAGGGAGTGGTCGAATGATGATCTTTGTGATCGGTAGCCATTGCAAATTTTGTGGGATGAAAAAAAGAAATTGAGACAATTGAATCCTATATATACTGTATATACAGTATTTATGCTTATTTATTTACTTCACCGAATTTTGAATATTTATGGTAAGTCATGAATCCACAAACTTTGGAGCCTTGGTTCCCGAAGAAGGTGGAGAAAGGAAAAGAAGAAAAATAAGAAGAACATCCTTTTCATCTTACGCACGCAATTCTTTTAATAAGGAAATTGATTGTCGAAGATGGGTCTCTAAATGTTTGGCAAGGACGCGGGTCAAATATCTCTTACGAGAAAGCATCGAATTAAAATGCAATACTTACATATTTTCTATTATTTAAAAGTAAACTGTTTCTTGAATCGTTATCAAATAAACAATAAATAATTGCGTTCCCAAAACATAAATCTTTTCATGCAAATACTTTCTTCTAAATGCAAAAGACTTGATAAGGAAAAATTCAAGTTAATTCAGGTTTTGTTTAGCTCCACGACACTGGCTGCGGTTAAATCGTGTTCCTCCCTATATTTATCAATGAATCTTTGTTATCGGCTAATTCATTCATCATCAATTGTCTAGCAACGAAGGTTCATTAATCATCATTCTCCATGAGATGGTGGAGTTAATCCCTCGTGAAGACCATTTTCTCTTTTCCACCAGCCGTTTGTACATCTCGAACAACCTTTTTTAACCGAATTGATATCCTCTCCTGAATAAACGACGGTTGTCCTACATGCCTGCGGATTTGAAACATTTGGCCATAAAGAATTACAGATTTCATTACAAATGGAAAAGGAGGCACCATGGTTTTTCCAGGATGGTCCTGCATGCAAAATTTTCCCACCTCTCAGCCTAATGAACGAATGGGGCAACTTCCAAACTACGAATCATACTAGAAAATTCCGCGTAGGCGCGTAATCCTCACACACCGTACTTCGAGAACTATTCTTATAAACGCAATATTAGCAATTCATTTTTTTTTTTTTTTTTTTTGCAATTACGATTCGAACATCGGTGTGTCGCCGTTGACTCACGTGCACGCTTTGTTGATATACTCAAAATTTTTGGTTTAAATATACTTTTTTTTAACCCGCAATCAGGTCATAATGGCGTATCTACCGTATATTTATTAAAGTTATGTGCTTGTTGTTAGTACATTATTAGGCAAGAATCCAAACTTTTTTTTAGATTTCTGGACTAAAAGTATCTCTAGGGGACAATATCAAAATATACTGTATGTTATTTTATCTTATTGAAAAAAACATTAATGAATTGGAAAAATCATCAAGTCATCTTGGTGAGCTATTATCTTTCATCCGAATTGGTTTGCTTTTAAAAATATTTGATTTTAATCAATTAGTCAATTAATTGTGCACATACGGTAAATTACTGGATCAAATGGGTATTATTAATAAATATAAATTCCATTAAGGGTCAAAACAAAGAATTGTTTTAATCAGGTTTATCGGATGGTTATCCCTAAATTATTTTTTTTTTCTTGTTATAATTGTATCAAAATACAACCTTTGACTTTTTATCAATTAGAAATTGAAATTATTATTAAAAAATCATACAATAATAATAATAATAATAATAATAATAATTTTTTCATCAATGCTTTATTACTTTAAACCATATTGACAGAATTTCAAAAATTTTTTAAAATAATCAATCTTAGTAATTCAATATTTATTTTCAATTCAACATTTATTTGAATTGGATTTTCTATTATAAATAATCAAATTAATAGATTTATATATATAAGAACTATAAGAAGATAACTCTTTCCATTGATTCTTTAATCACATACAAAAAAGATATTTGTAAGAAGTTTTTACACTTCCTTGCTAATAAAGTCTTAACACTTTTTTTAAAACAACTTGAAATATGACTTCAAAGTCACTTATACCCTTTTTAAATTGTCTACAAACCTTTTTACTCAAAAACTTGACTTTTAATGAGCAAGAAATTCAAATAGTACCTTTGATATTAATAGTAAAAAAGTTTCCAAAGGAAAAAGAACTGACTGTAAAGTACCTGAAGATCTTTCTAACCTTTGAAGCAAGAGATTTATAAAGGTTTTTTGCAGTAAAAAGACATCTTTTCTTCCTTTTTGACTGTTTTGATTCTCTTAGAGCTCCCATGTTTACAGGTTTCTGAAGAATTTTGTCTATCTCAGTTTGATCCAGAATTTTGGATAGCACAAATTCTCATCAAAGGTAATTGGCTAACATGAAACATGACAGTTTTTAAAATGTAAACAAGCTCCTATTGGCTACACTTATGTGTCTTAATATATCATTGGTGATGTAGAAAAGAAAGTTCTAGAAAAAGTATCCCCTCCAATTGTATATGTTCAACCTCCAGGAAACAATTATGATACCAAAAGATAAGTGATGGATAGGAATAGAAGATCCAATTCCCATCTCTTATTAAGTTTCTTAGGTAGTAAAAAGACTTTCCTGGACAAAAGTTGAGGTCTTCAAGCTTCTATCCTGGTCAGGTAAAGTTCTTGAAAAGATTTCTTTATTTCAATCAGATAAACTCTTCCATAATATGGTACTGGTTTCACTAGTGATAAGCAAATCCATACATCATTAGAAGGATAAATTTCTCAAATCACTTTCAGGAATGGCTAAGTTCTTCAAATGTTATAAAGCTTAAAGAATATCCCAATCAGACGGACCCCTTTTGAGAGGAAACTGTGAAATAGAGCAAGAGTCTTTTGGAGGGCTTTGAATTGTATTTCCCCTTCCTTTTTTTCCAATACCAACTTTAGCAATTCATCATTTTTCGGAATAATCAACAGTGATATACTATTGGCAATAATCCTGGTTGACTTAGAGACACTATTGCCAAGCTACTAGGAGAGTGAAATATTGTTCCCTAAATCTGACTTAGAATATCTAGTTTAAACTTAGTGGACTCCTCATATTTTTTAAGTAGTGTGGTTCTTTAATTAATAATATATAATGACAAGTTAGTTACTTTGTGAAGGTTTGTAAAATATTTAAGTATTTTTTAATATCTCAATAAAAACACACAATTGTGACATAATTGCAAATTAAATATATATATACAGTATATATATATATATATTTTTTTAATTAGTCATATTGACTAAGGAAAAAAAAAAAACTCTTTCTGCAAATTCCTCAGATCCTTAAAAATTTTCTTTTTAGACAATTTACTCAAAGAAAGTAAAACATCTTTTTACAAGACACATATTCTTGCAACACCAGCATACAATAGTCA